TTTAGGATAACTGCAAAAGAAAAGCTTTTTATACTCGAGCAGACACTTCGACCTTATCTTACAGGAAATTAGCACAAACTACAAACTTTTAGTTGGAAAACAGTTAGAATATAATACACTGACGGACAAAAATGCAGACTTGTATTTTATAAACATCACAACTGGAAAAGAATCAACAACAAACAACAACCCAGTAAAATCCCACAAGTGGGGTCTGGGGAGGGTAGTGGGGAGTAGAGAGGTTGTTTCCGATAGACCCTCGGCTCAAGAAAACGAAAAGAGGCAGTATATCAGTATCAATCAACAGAAACAACTGGAAAAGAATCAAATTAACTAAATATAAGATCCTATGGAAGCTGGATAATAACAAAACTAAATTCGCACATATATTTGAATAAGCTCGTACTCAGGAGTTGCTTCACTTTGTTGCTCTGCAAATGCCCAATATAATGCCATTCAATGTCCTCAGGAAGCTGCATTTCAACAACACATACTCAATATTGCAACCCAAAAAAAATCAACTACTCAATTACTCCTTCTATATTACTAGAAAAAATTTAATTTTAATAAGATGATTTATAGCCACGCAAATATATACAACTTATTTTAAAACACAGTTTTATTTTTTCGTGCTCAGTCAAACTATGCCACATAAAATGGGAGGGAGGGAGTATGTCTCAATCCCAAATTAACTCAGCTATATGAATCCTTTATATCTATCCAGCTCAATTTACATCCAATTTTTTTTCTGGAAACAATTTGTCACAACCTAAAATTCAATTAGCGTAACCAATACTGAAATGGAGCAGATGAGTACCTCGGGAGCCTTCTGGATAATCTCTTGGACATAATTTTCACCGAAACAGCGGTGACCAGCATCATAAACTTGGTTAATTAGAGAAATAGGTTTGGTCTTGCTCACGGCCACCACTCTCACATCATCAGCACGGCGGCCGGACCTTTCCGCAGCTTGCCGGACCCGGTGTAATACCGACCGGAGCGCCGTAACGGCCAGACCCTCGGCAGCCGGAGCAGCCATCGCTTTGCTTTCTCTATTTGACTCCTGATTCTCTCGCGCGCTAATCATTGTTTATTATAGTTTCTGTTTATAATCACCAAAGAATGGTCGGTAATTGTTTACGTCAAGAAACGGAAGCCACACACGATAAACAATAAAACCTCACCATTTTTTTTCCCTGTTATAGATTAATTTGCATTTGAGAAATAAAAATTATTTAAATTTGTTTATTTTTTTAATGTTATAACGATAAAAATAGTTTAGATTAAAATTACAAAATATATTCATCTTATTACCAATTATTTTTTAAAAACTAATATAATATTAATAAATTCATAACTAGTTGTACGAACTCGAAGGCACATAGATTACTTACAAAATTATTGAAGTTATGTCTCCAACAAAATAATTTAGAGAGTGATACGATCCGAGATAAATAAAATAGCGGAATATGAAAATAATAATAATTAAAGCAAAAGTATGATAGGTTTGATTAAGATAATCAAAAGTAGTCTAAACGATGATATATTGAAGAAAATCTAGAACCCTAAGTGAACGTCTCAAGCAATAATCGAAATACTATATGATCGCCTCCCAAGGACGACAAATCAGAAACCCTAGATATAAAGAAAGGAGAAGAAGATTACCCTCAAGAACCCAAGTCTTTGTCAGGTAATCCAAAGTTGAACTCGAACCAAGAGGTTCCAAATCCCTCTCAAGAGTTTTCTTATGTCAAATTATGCTAAGTTCCTAACTAAATAACCCTATGGAGTAAAACATGAAGTAGAACTTTCGTTAGAAGCTCTCTTTTTGGAAGGCTTCCATGCTTTGATGTTATTGGGTAATCAAAAGAAACAGATTTTCCTCTCCTGTAAGCCTCATTCTTCTTGTGCCCCATATCTTTTAAACTCAAAGGTGCAAACTTGCTTCTCAAATGAAACTACTAGCCCGTTTGGCCAAGCTGCAAAAATCAGCTTATTTTGAGAAGTGCTTTTTTTCAAAAGCGCTTTTCTCAAAAGTACTTTTGGTGAGAAGTAGTTTGTGTTTGGCTAATTAGTTTGAAAAGCACTTCTGAGCAGCAATTAATGTTTGGCCAAGCTTTAAAAAACTGCTTCTAAGTGTATTTTTCTCAAAAGTGCTTCTCAAAAAAAGTATTTTTGGAGAGAAGCTACTTTTTTCTGCTTCTCCTCAAAAGTACTTTTTTCCTTCCAAAAGCTTGGCCAAACACCTCAATTTTTGGCCAAAAGTGTTTTGGCAAAAAAAAAAAGCACTTTTGGCCAAAAAGAAGCTTGGCCAAACAGGCTATTAATGCCGTTAAGACTTGACTGACGAGACATTTTGTCTGTTTTTTCATTTCTGTCACGGGGTACTAAAGTCAAGATCGGAAGCTCATGTCGTTTTTCGTCATCTACTTTCCGAAAAATGAGGGTACTATCTGTATGCAGTCGAAATCGAGCTCGATTACGACATGGTAGGTTAGACTCGGAACATGACAACCAAGGACTGAAGATCGACCTCGAGTCCCACCGAGTTAGAGCCCGAGGTCAGAACGCCTGCTTTCGAGAACATTGAGTCCGTGATCACGGAATCGACCTTAGCCCCGAACGAGCTCGAAGAAACATTGTTAGTATAACCAACAGAAGACCGAAATATCCGTGGCCGGTCGGATATTACGGCGGGAATCTCTGCGCGTATCAGTAATGAACTAGCAATTAGCAAATCAAGGGATTTTTACCTTTTATAGAATTGAATCTAAAGTAGGACTCCTCTATTATATAAAAGGGGGGGTCTGATAATTCATTTGGCACATTGTAACACACATTCCAAAGCAATACATTACTATTCTCTTTAAGTTCTTATTTTTCTGTCTTGATATTGATCGAAATACGCTCGGCTCCAGGGTGGCTAACCTTCCAAGGCCGAAATTGTTCAATTTGTGTGGTTTGCTTTTACTTTACCAATATTTATTTCAATTGTGATCTAATTTATCATTTTGTGTCAAGTTAATCCACATATCCTTAAAAACCACTTGCAAATTCAATTGTTAGCCGATTTTGAGGGTAAATAAGATACTTAACTTTTTCAGAGTATAGCTAATACACATCTCCGATGGTAAATTATGTATTTGCCTATTAAATATTTGTAATAATTAATTGCTATATCTTATAACGAAATTAGACATTTTCTTTACAAATGCTTGAATCTAAGCTAACAAGACCTAGATATAAGTACTCGTTCCACCAAAGCAACTGGGTTGGACGCAACTTTGGTCGATTTTTCATTTAAAATAAATTAACATTAATTATTCAGAAATTTGACCAACTCATTTAGAAAAATCAACTGATTTTGGTCTGTAATTTTATTTTTTTAATAAAATCAACTCACTTCCGATCGGTTTTTTTTTTTGTTGAGTTAGAAATTCAGTTGACCGATCGATTTTAGTTGGTTTTTGGTACCGACCAGTATTTTTCCGACCACCCAATTCGGTCGGTTCTTGGTCGGTAATTCACGGTGGATTTTTCTTGTCGGAAAAGAGCTAGTAATTTATAGTAGTGAATCGTGATGGCCTGTGAATGTAAATACATTGTACATTATGAAGTGGTTGTTAATTATTTGGTGCTTTGGATAGTGATTTGATGATAAAGAATAAAAATGAAGTATAAAAAGATTAAACGAATAAGTAGTACATGCAAAATATACAAAGAAGCTACAATTGCAGAAACAGCGCAGTGACACAATTGAAGATAGATTTGTTCTTCGTGGCCACAGAAACAGCATTCCAACTTCATGTACATTGATGAAGTTTTAAAACTATATATGTTGACATAGAAAAACTGGAAGTGGACAATCTTACACGTAAAGATGCATGGTATATATGTTATATGGCCTTTCTCAAAATCCCTTCTTTCTATTTAAAAGTTGTAAGACTTACCAAATTTGAAAGTAAACCTACAATTGCAAAATGTGATGCATAACTTGTTCAGAAAGCCCTCTATATCTTCCCTGGAATTATGCATTTTAGAGCTTACTGACACTATTTTATGCATCAGATTACTAAAGTTAAAAGTTTCACATTTCACAATCACTATTTCTACACCTTATAGCTTACACTTTTAGTCTTTTACGACTTACACATTACAATCCCGCGCAGGGGCGAAGCCACCTTTTGTTAAGGGTGGTCAATTGACCACCCTTCGTCAAAATATTACGAAAAGTTATACTGTGTATATAAGTAAAATATTGATTTCAATGTATAAAACATATATTGATCTCCGTCTTAATTACACCTTACTCACTGCTATTCCCGGTTATTAATTTCACTTTCTACTTTGTTCTATTTCTCTGTTGGATATAAGTCATTTCCAAGAGTTGGATATTCTCTTCTAAATACTATTAATCCTTTCTCATGAGAACACGTAACTAGGTCATATCTTTGTTAATTTGGTAAGCATCTAATGAAGTTTGAGTTTCTTATCTTTTTCTGTTACTTCTTTTTTTGGTATGCCTCTGGTGCTAGCCCTATTGGATTTCTCATTCAACTCTCTTATTGGAAGCATACCAAAGTGCATGCTTGGTTACCTTATTATAGGTGTTGTTTTCTATATATAACCTTTTATCATTTCTTAATGACTGTTATTTTGTGTTGACATAGATCTATCTTTCAAGGAAATTGCCTTCAGTACAAAGATCCAATTCAGAGCTCTGCTTCTCTATGTGGTAAGTAATGCTGCCCGACCCTTTCTCTCTTAAGCCAATAAACAATCTCTGGTTACAATTTTCAACAGAATGAATTATATTATATTGTTTTTGCAGCTGTCAGTTTGATGTCTCTATCTTATTTGAGAGGCCTGAGCATGTTTACTTTTCTTTTATTAGTAAAAGTTCTAGTGAAGTGTTAGAAAACATGCCTTATTAGGTCTCAATGTTGCAATCTCAAGTGTAATATGATGTTTGAATTTATAGTCTAATAATGAGAATTTTTTCTGTAATTCTTGTTCAGAGGTCATGACTATATCCATATCCATATTCAACCCAGTATAATCCCACTAGTGGGGTATGGGGAGGGTAGCGTGTACGCAGACCTTACCCCTACCATGGGTAGAGAGGCTGTTTCCAAATAGACCTTCGGCTTCCTTCCCACCAAGAACTCTCCACCTCGCTCTTGGAGTGACTCGAACTCACAACCTCTTGGTTGGAAGTGGGGTTGCTTACCATCAGAGGTCATGACTCATGTCCTGTAATGTCATGCTTATGTTTGACTTGTCTGCCTTATTTTGTAAATCTGTGATATCTGAACCCCTTCTCTTTCAGTATATTCAATCACCTAATTGGCCTAAAGAATATATATAGTGTTTTACTCGGGCTCTTCAAAAATGTTATTGGGTGCGTGTCGGATCCTTCAAATTTTGTACATTTTTGGAGGATCCGACGCGGATGCGACAGCACTTTTGGAGAGTCCAAGCAACATAGGTTTAAAGTCTGCCTCAGGAACTATAAATAATACCTGCCTCTGCTGCCTGTTTATGTGGTTCTAATCTTCACTGCCTGAATCTGGTCGAGTGCCTAAATCACATAGATATTATGCTTTTAGGATATAACTAATGCCCTAATATACTTTAGGATTAATAAATCTACCTCTATAAAAAAATCAACAAGCATTGAGTGTTTGCAGCTTTTTTAAATGATGAGAGACCTGAATCAATATTTAAGGATTATACCTTTAGGAACTACACTTTCACTAGGTGACTAGCAATTGTGCTGTGTATGTTTCATGTGCTTGGGGCTAGTTTGAAGTTGGGGCGATGCACAAATAGTCATTCTAAGGGATGCTATTTAGAGATTAGTCAATATTTATTTTGTCCTGGAATTTTAAACTAATAATCTTAACTTCAAGACAATTTAGGACATTTTGTCCGGGAAAATTAAACTGAAAAACTGAAATTCAGGACACACTAGCTAATTCCTAAATATACTGGACTTCCAGCATAATACATTGGAGTTCCAGTATATATAATATACTGGACTTCCAGCATAATATGCTAGAGGTTCATACATAGGTGCTTCAATCTTCAGTATATTATGCTGGAATTTTCTGTGTGTTGGAGTTCCAGTATAATAT